CACACACCTTGTAGACGTCATCAGACGGAAGCTCCGGACCTTCTTTCTTGCTCATCCTTGTAAGTAGATTTGCGACCTCCTCTTCCTGCCAGCTCCAAAGCACAAGCTTTTGTAGGACCTCCGTATCCAGCTGCTTGCCTGTGATCTTCTCCTGGCCGTGGCCGGACATCAGCCCCATGAACTTCACGTCAGCGAACTCTTTCTCGTTCCGCTCGATCAGCTGCCGGATGCCGATGAAGATGCGAGTCGCCTCATCGGCTATGTCCATGCTCACGTCCACGATGCAGACCTTGCACTCCGACTCCCGCAGGACCTGCTCGAGCATGTTCTCGTTCCAGCTCACCTTCGCGTACTGCTTCTTCGTCTCCAAGTTGGCGATGGCCGTCACGTCTGTGTTCCGGATGGTCAGGTGCAGCGTCTTCACTCCCGTCTTCTGCAGGGTGTAGGCCACCAGCCACCCGCACCACGTCTGGGGCAGCCGACCAGCGACACCAGGCGAATCCTCCCCGTCCGCAAAGCCTCCACAGCCTTCTTGTGCACGTTGAGGAGATGCTTCCGCAGGAAGAGCGGTCTGTCAGTGGTCGTGTTGGGCGCCACGAAGTCCTTGAACGCCTCGACGTCGAGCGATCGGGCTTGGAGGTCGGGGTCGGCAATTCCTCAAGCGGCGAACTACAACACCAAATCTAGAAGTTCTGCTACCCGGACCTGAGTCGAGCCTCATGCGCCAAACACAACTAGCCTGGAGACCTCCCCCGCCCTCAAGTGCAAGCTGACCTGGCCTGAGCTGGACCCGCCGCGACCTCCTTCTTGGCCGCCTCGATCTCCTTCTTGGCCGCCTCGATCTCCTTCTTGGCCGCCTCGACCTCCTCGACATTCCCCTTAGTTTTGGCCTTCTTCAAATCGCCCTGCGCGATCTCAAGTCGGTCTAGCGCCAGTCGCAGCTGACGCTCCCACAAACTTTCCTGCCAGGCTGGATCGCAGAAGACATTTGGGCAGGTCTCAGCCACGATCTCAAATCCTTCACAGCATA